AGAGACCAATACTAGTATTCCCTCATTTAGTTCTAGTTCGTCAATATCTAGAGCAATAGATGTCAGTGGTACAAATCTTGAAATTCCTTCGGAGTTAGCTAGGTATATGTGCGTGGACGTTCGTAGTATGTTAGAACCAAAAGAATTACAGAAATTTAGTTTTTTTTTTATCATGTAGAGGTGTAACAAAAGGCAATATCCAATTGTATAAAAAATTGCTCATGATCTACTAAAACCTCCGATGTCTACGATATCATCGGAGGTTGCACTTAGTTTATATGGTCGAGTTTTATATGACGAACGATCAAAACTAAAAGAAGATATATTAGAGGTTTTAATATGCTTGAAGGACTAGGAATGTGTAGAATTACGTTTTCAAAAACAAGTTGACAGTATAATGGTCGAATAGTTGCAGTAGATTCAATGATAAGATATTGTAAGTTTTTAAATTGATTAGTTTCAAAAAAAAAATGTAATTTTTAAATTTCTTTATTTAAAAAAAAAAAAATTGCACGAAATATTTTATTCGTGTACAATTTTTACTCCGCCTACGATAATTGTAGTCGGTCTTAAGCCCCGATAAAGGAGGATTGTTTTTACTTTTATTTAATTTATAGTATGTATAAATTGCAGAAATCTTAAATTCTTTAAAAAGAAATTCTTTAAAAAGAATTTAGATTTGTCATATAAAAAAAAAACGAGCTGACTCGGCTCAGCCCAGCCCACTTAGCCGAGCACCAAAAAAACATTTTTCTTCGAGCTTCAATTTTTTAGCCGAGCACCAAAAAAACATTTTTCCTCGAGCCGAGCCCAATCTTCGAGTTTCGGTTCGTGGCTCTGCTCGACTCGACTCGACTCGTTGACACCCCTATTTGGTAAGGTTTAAACTTTTTTCTTTGTTTCTTGTTGGTAATATCCTTGCTGATAGATGATGTATTAGTGTCGTTGAATTGACATTAATTATGTAATTATTATGACCATCATGTTACATGTACATTATCTTT